TTTCTTTACCTTTCTTTCAGCACCGGTTTGGTACTTTTCCAGGTACGAGGAGTGCTAGGTAATAAACCAGGCATGGCCCCTGTCCTCGAGATTCCTTTCTAGGGTCATTTTATTATAATTCACGGGATCTATAGTTCATGGAATTTTAAGTCATGGGATCAGAGTGGAAACACATGGAGGAGCATTTAATTCTGATTGAGGCTCGTAGGAGAATGGAGTAAAGAATGAAGGTTTTGAAGGATGAATAGAAGTTCACCAGTCACCAAAACAGAAAAACCCTTTCTACGTCCTTTGCATTTCTTGAGTCCTCTCAATGGAAATCGACATTCTCTTTTCCATAACACCTTTTCCACAGATTCTAAAGATAAAGTTACTCGCTCGAGGCCCTAAAGCAAAGAGTTGATGGAGCTACAATATCAACTTGGGTCTCACTCCCCTTAAGCCCATGATCTTTTCCATTTGGCATAGCTACGTTTTTATTTACTTAGGTAGTTATTTATTTATTTATTAAAAATGTTTATTTATTCTTGAGAGAGACAGCTTGAGTGGGAGAGGGTCAAGGAGAAGGAGTCACAGAATCCGAAGCAGCTCCAGGCTCCAAGCTGTCGGCCCCGATGCGGGGCTCAAACCCACGAACCGTGAGATCATGACCTGAGCCAAAGTTGGATGCTTAACCAACTGGGCCACCCAGGCGCCCCCAACATTTTTTTTAAACAACTGCTGAGCACTGATATTCTGTTTTCAGAACTTTTTTAAAAAGGCTCTACCATCAAGAAGTTTGAGTACATTTAAAAAAAAAAATCTAAGAGGTTTACTTCCTGCACAATTTCCCAGAGCGTTTAATGTGCCGTGTGAATCTACAAAGGTGGCGTTTCCAAACCGCACGTGGCCTCAGAACATTTCCTTGGCGCTGAGGACTTTGGAAACGTGCAGGAGGGCAAGCTGATCGCTTCGGGGCCAGGCAGTGTGGGCGCTGGGAGGAGATCTCGTGTTTCCAAGCGCTGGGCGCCTGAGCAAATTATTCAACCTCCCTGGGCCACTGGCCCCTTGTCTGTAAAATGGGAACAGTGATAGAAGTGGCCTGTTTTGCAAAGAACGAATGATTTCAATATGGGACTTTGCCCTCCTGTCCATGTGAAGGGTATATCTGGTCTTGGCCCCGTGGAGTGGGAGGAGGCCCAGGATTTAAGCCAACCCCACTCCTGGGGTTTAGGAGCCATCAGAACACACATTAAGCTGATGGTTCCAGAGTCCCCGGCTCCTCGGAGGATACTGCCCCTCCCCCCCGCCCAGAGCCGAGATGTGCCCTCTGGCTGCTCCGACCCCGTGAACATTCAGAGGACTTAGAAAATAAATAAAAGGATCACGTGAATAGAGGCATTCTGCAAGGCAAGCACGAGCGTCAGCGACAGAGCCGGCTCTCCATCGAGGCAGCCTTGCCCAGCCCGGACAGTGGTGACTGCATTGTCCCGTAATCCACCCCAGGCGCCAGGGCAAAGGGGCACTGCTGTGGGGCAGATGACAGCCGCGGGGAAGCAGCCACGCGTGCTGTCCACACGGCGCAGCCCCGGGACTCGAGCCGGGCGTCCAGCCCGACTCGCCCCACAGCCTGTCTTGTTTTGTCTTGTTGCCCCCCCACCGGCCACAGACACGTCTGTCTCTCAGCCTGGCACCGAGAAGGCCCGGAAGGGAGAGAGCCGTGCCGATGGCCAGGCAGGCGGCATCAAGACCCACCTCTCTCCGTTCTGCCTCAGGTTCAGTTTACACCGCCTGTGTTTCATGCAAAGTACGAGGATGCGGGTTTATGACTTTCATTACAATGAAACCCACGGGTTGAACACTGCTAGTCAATCCACTTTGTCTTCCCATGGAAATCACAGCAAGAGCCAGGTGGGGAACGGAGTCCACAAGACAGAGTCCAGGATGGCCCTTCTGGAAGGTTCCTAGGGAGCATCTGTTCTGAGTCGCTGTTAAACAGGGGGGGCTGGCGCACGTGCCAGGATCAGCACGATTTTTAATTTTCGTGACTGTCCAAAGACACCCTTAGGCCCGCATGAGCGGCCCTTTGTAACTTAAACGGCTCTCTTTGCAACTGTAGTATAAACGTGAGGTTTTGCGACAGCTTCTGACACTAAACCCTTTCACATGCAAAAGTGGAAAGTACGAAAGGTCACGGTCAGAACGTTACATTGCACCTGCAGTTCAAGGCGGCATCGCAGCTCCCCCACCGGAGCGGAGTTCTGTGCCTTTCCATCTACCAGCAACCCTTTGCCGCCTGGGAAGGCGCCCGAGCTGCCAATCACGAAGCCCCGCCTCCCTGCCGGGGCTCTCTCTTCCCTTGGGATCAACACCCACTTAAGACCCACCAGAGACTGGATCATTTCTGCTGTAGAGAGGCTGCCTCGGGCTAAACTCGGTTAAGCGTCCGACTTCGGCTCAGGTCATGATCTCCCAGTTCGTGGGTTCGAGCCCCGCGTCAGGCTCTGTGCTGACAGCTCAGAGCCTGGAGCTGCTTCAGATTCTGTGTCTCCCTCTCTCTCTGACCCTCCCCTGCTCACACTGTCCCTCTCTCTCTCTCTCTCTCTCTCTGAAATAAATAAAACATTAAAAAATAAATAAATTTTAAAAAACTCAAGAGAAAAGAGGGATGAGAGGAAGCCTGTCTGAGCCCGGAACCCAGCCACACCTAACGCCCAGTAAACCCACACTTCCCAGTTTGGAGAGCCAGGCGGTTCCCCTTTTCGCCTCAACGCCCTCGAGCTCGCAGAGAAATGAATTAAAACCCACAATCCCAAGCAAAACTTCCCACTAAAGAATTCTATTTCCCCCAAATCACCCTCGGTCACTGGCTCGCTTCACCAAATTGGGCTGAGTTCTAGACCTGACAGGGACTCTGCAGGCTGCTCAGGGAGATGGAGCTTCCTTTGGACGTGATGAAAAAGTTCTGGAAGGAGACGGGGTGATGCCTGCTGGACGCTAGAAACGTGCTTTGATGCCACCGAGTCATACCCTTTAAAATAGGTAAAATGAGGGGCGCCTGGGCGGCTGAGTCGGTTAAGTGTCTGACTTCGGGTCAGGTCATGATCTCATGGTTCGTGGGTTCGAGCCCCGGGTCGGGCTCTGTGCTGACAGCTCGGAGCCGGGAGCCTGTTTCGGATTCTATGTCTCCCTTTCTCTCTGACCCTCTCCTGCTCATGCTGTCTCTCTCAGAAATAAATAAAACATTAAAAAAAAATAAAATGGGTAAAATGAGCAATTTGATGGTATTTTTTACCTCATTTACTGAAATGGAAAGGAAAGCAGAGCCCTGCGAGGCTCAGAGGGTCAGAGAGAGAGGGAGACACAGAATCTGAAGCAGCTCCAGGCTCTGAGCTGCCAGCACAGAGCCTGACGCGGGGCTCGAACCCACCAGCCATGAGATCGTGACCTGAGCCGAAGTCAGACGCTTTAACCGACTGAGGCACCCAGGCGCCCCTGAACCTCATACTTTTTAAAAATGATTTTCGTATCTATTAACCCTGGAACCCCACGTCCTGAACATGTACCCTAAACACAGACCTCAGCGGGGGAGGCAAAGCGTATTAAAAGGCTGGTTGGAACAGTATTTATAAAAAGAAAAATTGGAAGCAACCCGATAGGCCAACCCCAGGAGAACACTGAGTCCGTGAGGATGCACTTGGAAAACGGGACACTCAGCCACCAGAAAAACGCGCATCACAAAGCCCGCACTACATCATTTATGAGATTATGTTGGCGGGGGGTGGGAAGCCCCCCAGCAGCGTGTGATTTGCAGGCTGTGACCGCGGGGATGCACCCAGGTGGGTGAGCCCGCCCCCAGAGCTCGCAGGGACGATGGGGAAAATGGGTCACGGTAAGGCGACGGAAGGAAATTTTTTTTTTTCTTTCCTGGTCTAATTTTTTAAATCCAAGTTTTCTGTGAGGGATAATTTTAGATTCACAGAAGAGCTGCAGGAGACGGTGCGAGGGTTCCCACACACCCCACACTCTGTTTTCAGGAGAACTGCCGTCTTACGCTGCTCACGACTGAGACGCCAACGCTGAAACGGTACCAACAACGAAACTCCAGACCCCGTTCCGATTCCACCGGCTTTTCTGCTCCAGGATCCAATCCACGGTACCATGTTCCGCGTACCCTAGTTTCCTGTGTGTTCCTGGTTTTGGTTTTTACAATTCAGTGGCTTTTCATGTATTCACGGACACGAGCAACCATCACGAAAGTCAATTCCAGAATATTTTCATCCCCTCCGAAGGAAAGCCCATGCCCGTTACCTACCGTGTCCAGATCGAGGGCTTTGAAAACCCCTTTCGCAAGACACAGAACCCGCCGGTAACTCCCTCACCTCCCTTCCCCTGGATTATCTTTCTGCAATTCAGATGTTCTTTTCTCAGTGCGACCCAGAAGCCTTAGCCCCAAAGGAACTGCCTCGGAAGTTTCCGACAGCACAAGTTTGTGATACGTCCAGAACAGAAGAACACTCGGAAACAGAAACCCTCTAGGTGAACCATCAGGAGCTCAGAGACAAAACCAAGGGTGTGCCCACCTTCCCCACTTCCCACTAATCTAGCAAGGGCCGGGAGATATGTGTTCTTGAGTACCTACTGTGTGCCCGGCACCATGCAGGGAGGCATGCACGAAGGTGCCCATTGGGTCTTCGTGGCCACCCCTGGGAGTCAACCATGATCGCCCACGATCCAAGCAGGTGGCGGCCCCCGATTTGGTCATCCCTCCTGCCTCCTTCCTCACGAGCTGCCTCCCCCCGCAAAGGTAGGCCTCCTGCCGCCATGTTTTCATTATATGGTGGTCAAGCCCTGAGCCCGCACCCTGCAAGCAGCTCTGGTAACGTTTCGCCAGTGGCTCTGGCGCCACACAGCTTGCTCTGAGTCCCAGGAGCCAACCCCAGCCTGCTCTGTCCCTCGGGACGGTGGCCCTGTGTCGGGGGTGATCCTCCCTGCCTCGGAAAGAACGCAAGGCCAGCTACCTGCACCACCTCCTTCACCAGCGTCTTGTCCGTGCCGGTTTTGGCTCGCTGCAGCCCGCTGACATTCTCGCCGATCCACGTGATGAGGGCAAACTTGGACCGCTTGCTCATGGCGTCCCCGGTGGTGAAGCGCACGAAGGCGAACAACCGGACGTCATCTGCAAGCAGAGGGCACAGCGCTCAGTTAGGACGTCCCAGGATGGTGTCCCCGGGGGGCAGCCGCGAGCAGGTGCTCAACACTGACCTTGGCCAACATTCCCTCATTTTAAAGAAGTTTATTCTTTTATTTTGGGAGGGAGAGAGCGAGAGGGCACGGGCAGGGGAGGGGCAGAGAGAGAGGGAGAGAGAATCCCAAGCAGGTTCAGCACTGTCAGCACAGAACCCGATGTGGGGCTCGATCTCATGAATCGTGAGATCAGGACCAGAACCGAAACCAAGAGTCTGACGCTTAACCGGCTGAGCCACCAGGTGCCCCAACATTCCCCCATTGAATCCGGCAACACCACCACAGGCTCCGAGGCCCAACCCACAGCTGGGAAACAGAGCCTCAGAGGGGACACGTGACACCCAAGGCCACCTGGGCAGTTCAAGGCCATGCAGGGATCTGAACCCAGGTCTCTGTGTCCACTACACCCGCAACCCCCCCCCCCCATCCCTCACGTGCTCAGGGAAGGCTCGGATTCTGGATCGTATTTAGGGAGACCTTCCTCAAGTCTTCTGAGCCCCTGAGGCCCTGCTCGGAATAGGGACTGAGCCACAGGGTAGGAGCTGAGGGGGTCGTGTGGCCCCGATCTTGCTGTGGGACACGGCGCCAGGACCGCAGGGCACGTCTAGCTCACGGCTGGCCAATAAAGAACGCTGAGTACTGGGGCGCCTGGGTGGCTTAGTCGGTTAAGTGTCCGACTTTCGCTTAGGTCATGATCTCGCGGTTCGTGGGTTCGAGCCCCGCGTCGGGCTCTGTGCTGACTGCCAGCTCAAAGCCTGGAGCCTATTTCAGAGTCTGTGTCTCCCTCTCTCTCTGACCCTCCCCTGCTCACGCTGTCTCTCTTTCTCTCTCCTAGAAATAAATAAAAATTAAAAAAAAAAAGAAAAAAGAATGCTGAGTACTTTTCCACTGGGTGTGCTCTGTTACCTCGTGCACACGTGTTGTTACGAAAAGGCTTCCGGGGGGATTTTGTCCCCCGGGTGGACATCTTACTTTTTTTTCCACTACCACGCTTTTTTCTCTATTATCCCCTCAGACAGCCCGCCACTGCTGTGCGTTACCAAAATATGTGCGCTACTCTTGAGTTTTCAGAGTGATCTGTGTGTGTGTGTGTCCCCATCAGGACACACCAGGCTTTCTCGGCCTCGGCGCTCTCTCTTTGCGACAGGGACTGTCCTGTGCACCGCAGACTCCTCCCTGATCTCCGCCCGCCCGATGCCAGGATCGCGCCTCCACCCGTTACAACCGTCCCCTGTGGGGCGGAACTGGCCCTGGCTGATAATGACCTTCTAGCTAGTTTGGGTCCCCGTTTGATGAAGACCCTTTTTGTGTTCTCCACCAACATCTGTTTTTCACTAAGGGAATCCTAGATCCTTTCTCAGCGTGGGTCCCAAACAGTTCATAATTGAATCGCGATGATCGCGGAAAGCTCATCCCAAGCCCGGGCTGGAGATGGCGGCGCGGGACTGGTCTGGGGGGTTAGGGGGGGAGGGTTCCTCTCGTACTAGCTGCTTGCTCAGCCCTTCCATTCTCACAGGGCTCTTAGCTGCCGGCTTTAGGATTTCTCGGGCTCCCGACGACAGTGGGGAGCTGAGCTTCTGAAATGTCCGTGTCAGTCTGAATCACTTGGGCCTCTTGCTAACATGCGGATTCTGAGGCTCGGACGGGGCCCCGGGGTCTGCGTTTCTAAGTGATCTGAATGCTGCCGCCCGAGGGGCTGCATTTGAGGAGTTCTTTATTTTCAGCTGCTTTTAAAGCAAGGCATCTTCCTTCCTAGACTTTCCAGGTGCTTCCGTGCTGAATCCCGCACGGCGCGTAGGTTTAGACAGCAAGACCCGAGGCCACACGCCCTCTGGTGTAAAGGAGAGAGTCTGGGGCCGATTAAGCTCTCTGTCTGGTTAGGGCCTCAAGCCCACGCACAACTTGGCCCACAAGCTGTCCTGAGGGGCAACCACTTGTCACAAGGGAGCCGGGGAACACGGTTCTCAGCCGGCCAGACTCCCGATCCAGACGGTACAGGCCAAGCCAGGCGGCTCCGTGGCATTGATTTCTTTTCTTTTCTTTTTTTTTATGTTTTATTTATTTCTAGGAGAGAGAGAGAGAGAGACAGTGTGGGCAGGGGAGGGTCAGAGAGAGAGGGAGTCACACACTGAAAGAGGCTCCAGGCTCTGAGCTGGCAGTCAGCACAGAGCCCGACGCGGGGCTCGAACCCACGAACCGCGAGATTATGACCCAAGCGAAAGTCGGACACTTAACCGACTAAGCCACCCAGGCGCCCCACGCGGCATTGATTTCTTAAAGGACACACATGACCACCGGTCAGTTTCTAAAACACACTCATGCTTTACTGTCTCATTTCTTCGTTGTAAGTTTTATTTCTTTATTTTGGGTCTTGTTTTGTTTTTTTTTGGAGAGAGAGAGAGACAGAACGCAAGCGGGGGAGGGGCAGAGGGAGAGAGAAAATCCCAAGCAGGCTCTGCACTCAGCACAGAGTCCGATGCGGGACTCCATCCCACGACTGTGGGATCATGACCTGAACCGACATCAAGAGTTGGACGCTCAACCGACCGAGCTCCCCCGGACACCCCTTGTTTGGTCTTTATAATGATGCTGTGAGGTGGGCAATGGGGAAGGAGGGGACACCAGTGTCACCTTCATCAACATGCCGTCACCTGGTGACAGAGGAGGCTCAGAGCCCCTGTGATGTGCCCAAGGCAACAGGGAACTTACCGAGGGGGCTGCAGGCCGAGGCTGGGTGGCTTGGGCGTGTCTGCCCAGCCCCTTCCTCTGGGGAGCCGCCCCCGCCCCGGTCACAGGAGTCAGCAGACTGTGGGACCCGCCTATAGGGAGAGGGGACAGTCTCGGGGACATAGCGACAGGGCTCGGTGACAGACTGCCCATGGGAGGAAAGGAAGCAGTCCGGGGTTGAGGGCTCCCTCTCTTACCCTCATGGACTCTGACTTAATCCCCAATCACTGAGCCTCAGCAAGGGTTTTGTGTTTTGTTTTTTTTTTTGTACTTCCTGCTTTTTTTTTTCTTAAAAATAAAAAAGCCACGGTAAAAGATAAAAGGCACAGAACATAAAAGTCACCATTTCAACTATTTTAAAGCGTACATTCAGTGGCATTTAATACATTCACAATGGGTGTGCAATCAAAGCGCTTACCTACTTCTAGAACACATGCCTCTCCCCCAAAAGGAAATCCTTTCACCGGTTACAGTCGCTCCCCTCCCCCCTCCGCGCAGCCCGAAGCAACATGAAGCCGCAGCCTGTCTCTGGATCTGCCTATTCAGGGCATTTCACATAGATGGAATCACAGACTGTGGCCTCTGGTGACGGCTTCTCTCCTCCAGCGCATTCACTCCACGCCCCACCCCGGGCGCACCCCCGCCCCCCGTGCACGATCGGTCCCTTTTACAGCCGAATACTGTTCCAGCCTGTGGACATGCCACTCTGCTTATCCATCACCTGCTGGGACACGTCTGGGACGTTCCACGTGGGAGACCACATCATTAGTGGACCATGAGGGCTCAGTCAGGAATCTGCACGACCCACGTGGACTCCCCGACGCTGTGGCCACTGGACGGAGCTGCCGGGAGACAGCGAGCGCAGGGAACGAGGCGGCGGGTCTGAGGAACTGAATGGACACGGCCACGCGTGGCTGGCGCAGGTGGCGTGGGGGAGGGGGAGCCCGGTGGTTCCTGAGCACCACCCGGCACCGCGGCCACGTTCTGGAAGCTGCCACGTGGTGCTGAGCCCTGGTGGGGGAGGAAAGCGAGGAGCAGCAAAGTGTTTAATTAAATTGCTGCCTCGATCCGAGGGGGAGGCAGGGCCGCACGTAGGGCGCCTCCCGAGCCGTTCGTGCCGAAGGAAACACGAGGAAGAGCAGAGCAGCCTGTTTCCATGGGAACCACTCCGTCTCCCATCCCTGCACCGGGAGCCGGGGTGTCGGGGTTCCCGTGGCTGCGGCTGGGGCCCCACCGCGCATCGCCAGCCGAAGCCCCCCCATGGGAGAGCTGCGAACCACACGACCCAAGCACTGGCCCGGGACCTGGCGCGAGACAGACGCACAGCCAGTCACCCCCGAGGACGCGGGGAGCCTGGCCTTTACGGACCTTCCAGAACCGCAGGCCAATGTCATTCACCGTATCACGGCAGCGGGGACTGCTTTCCAGGTGGCTGCTTATCTGACAACGGCGTGGCCAGCGACATTGCTGACGCCTTTGAGAATCTGAGAGTCACATTATGCCTGCAAAGGTTTGCTGCGCGCGGCCTGGCATGACACTGAAAAGTCAGCAGCGCCTGCGAGGGAAAACCCGTTTGTCGGAACGACGTTTGCGCAGCTGCCCACGCAGGTGGGAAGCCGCTCTCCCCGCCTCGCCCTGCAGGAGACTCTGAGCCCAAGGTGACCGCAGACGGGTCTGTGCAGGGGGAGGTGGTAGCTCGTAGCCGGGGCTGAGCTGCCTTCTCTCCTCCGGACACACGGGCCGACCCAACACACACGCGCGCGGCCACAGCGCCGCCTGGGAGTGGAAGACGCCACCCCCTCACACACAGGAAAATGTGGGTGCATCAAAGGAAAGGCAGCGCTAAGCCTCAGTGTAAATGTGTGCGCTCGGGCGTGCCTGCGTGTGCTTCTGTGTGTGCACATGTGTGTATGCTAAAATGGAAACTTTTAAGGTTAGTACCTGACATTGCCGTCACCCTCGTGGTGCCACTCGGTCCCCAGTGGGCCTGAGCCTCAGGAGCTGAGGGCCCAGCTGTGCGCAAGCCCAGGGCGAAGCCGGGCCCGGACACTCCCACAGCAGACAGACCCCCGAGCTCCCTCTCCTAGAGGCCTCAGCACAGCCGTCTACACCGCCTGCTCCCTCAGCCCCTCACACTCAGCCTTCTGCTCCCCAGCATCCAGATGAAGAGTCCAAATTCCGGAATCCATCAGAAGCCCCCCCGCC